CAATTATTTGTATTTTTACTTTGTTTGGGGTTATGCTTGATGAAATGTCCTTCTTTAAAAACCCATGAATGACATTGGTCACTTTTATTAGTATCGGAGTTTTCATTGAATTCATATTTGCATCTTCAACTGAATTCATATTTGTGTCTTCAACTGGATTCATACTTGTGTCTTCAACTGGATTCATATTTGCGTCTTCAACAGGGTTCATATTTGCATCTTCAACAGGGTTCATATTTGCATCTTCAACAGAATTCATATCCGAATTCATATTTATTTTAGTTAAAACCAAATAATGCTATCACGTGTCTAGTACTTTATATACTGTTACAAATATTCTGTATGTAATTTCATGACTTTAATACTCTTTTTTCAGTATTACTTTTTACAAAAAAAAAAAAAAAAAAAAGAAGCTTTTTAGAAACTGGCATCAATTTTGGATTATATTATTTCACACGCTTCTTTTCTTCTTTTCCCAATCAAATCGCAAATTTTATCAACCCAATGAAACAAAAAAATTCACATCACAATGATAAGGAACTTCTATTAGATATGTATGTACTGTACGTACATACGTACAGATATACGGCGCAAAATTTTAAAAACTTCCAATCACTTTATATAGAACAAAAGATAACTCATTAAAGCAAAATTTCTCATCCTCAAAGCGGATTATGCTATTAAGTTCTATAGAGCTTTAATTTGATTCTTGGCGTATATGCAGATTAAGAATTTGGATTTTTGCATTTTATTGAGGTTTTTGATTTAGAAATATTCATTTAAATGTAGTGTATTTATGTATGTTATTTAGGTTTTCAGATTTCTTGCACCCACATACAAGAATTTTTTATCGAAGAGAACTTAAGGGCTTTGACATAATTTAATTACATTTTTTCCAATTATCGCTATGTTCGAATTAGCGTTAGTACGATAAGCAAACTTGTGACTCCTATGAACCCTGTATATTACAAAATACAGGGTTCATAGGATTCAAATTCGATAAGGGAATGTGCAGGATTCATAAGATTCTCCGAATTTAATTGTCGCACTAATTCGGAAACTGCAATAAAAAAAGTACGTTACACCTACTTCTGTATAGAATTAAAATCGTTGGATTCACATGGGTGACATCTTAATTACTTATTGTTGTAGAAAGAAGTTCTTTACAGAACATATGTAAACACCTAATTCGTA